CAAATAAAAAAAAACTTTTTTCACACTGGGTGCATATAATTCATTGTAACATGAGATTTATGTCACGCTTTCAGAAAAGTATTTATGGATAGGTCCATCCAATGGCCACTAGGAGCAACCTCCAGTCCAAGAAGTGTCTTCTTGCTGAGGGGTAAACCCAAGGAAGGTTCTTTTCATATTTGCCTTTTTCTTGTATTCTTCCCTAAACATCCTATACCTGCAAGCCCTCAATACAGAATAGGAAACACACAGATCTGGTCTGATCCAATACAGAAGCAATTTGGTGGTTAGCTAGTTTATATCCATTTTTTGCCATGACTTTGGCTCATAATTGCAAGTTAACCTAGGTTCGTCAGTAATAGGGATTATTCTTCTCTTAGCTTATAATGTGAGGAAAAAACTTTGAACCGAAACATCTAGGGTAAGATTGACAGGAAGCTGGTAGTATTTTAGGAGAAAATGATACACTAACCTGGAGACTAAGAGAGAGGAACAGAAGTTCAGTCAGATACTCCTTTGAGGCCATAACAAGTTCATGTGAAATTTTGTCTGTGCATGACAGTTTGCCTTATCTTGAATGAAGGAATATACATGAAATTAAAGAGTAATCATACTGAAGAAAATAACTTCTATTACTTTGGATAGCGACATATTCGTTACAATTACAGTTGTACAATTACAGTTCATTAGTGTTTTTCTTCCAATTTTTTGTTCAGAAATATGTTCTTTAAAAGAAGAGTACTTTCATGCATTGCTCCCTTATTTTTTCACAATGCCTTCCAATTTTCTTGAATTTTTTGTCAAACTTTTCATCTTGAGCATAAAGCTAAGTACAGACTGGGTCACTTTATAAAAAACTACTAACAAAAAAAATCTCACCTGCTTATTGGCTTGAGAGAGTTGTATCTGTTGTTTGCTTTTTTTCCCTTCTTTCTTTCCTGCTCCTTTTCTCCTCTTTCTTGGTAAAAATGTGAAAGAAAAGAGGAGAAAAAAGAAAAGGAGACGACAAATACTTCCCTAAATATCCCTCCTTCCAAACAAATCTCAGCTTTCAGTTTCCAAAAGAAAAATAAACAAACAAACAAGCAAACAAACGCGAACTGTGTGTCTTTCTATTCTCCTTTTTGGAAAGCTCACTAACAGAATGTAATGCTACTCTGTTCTTTTTTCTTTTTTTAAATTCTAAAGTATATTGATTTACAAAAATCATGGCCAAATTCATCATTTTCTGCTCTGCTCTGTTCTTTATGCACTTCTGGGTGTTCACAGGAGGACTGACTTTTTGAGCAGGCCTTGATGAGAGAGAGGTGGTGCAGGCGGGTGGTACAGCAGAGGGTGAGTGTGAGCTATATGCTGTGGCAGGAGCAAAGGGTCCTTTTGTGAATGCAGGGTGATCTCATTGGCCCAAAGATGGGAGAGAAGGAAATAAGGTACAACTCTAGATAACTGCTGAGAATACATTAATTCCAGGCCCACGAAGCAGTTAAAATGACCATTCTTTTTAGTTCCAAACTGGGGTTGAATACAACCTGTTTTGCTGTACACATGCATCAGTCTCACTCACCCAGCTTCATCTCATGATACCTTGGCTTCTCCACTCGGCACTGGGGCTTCTTGGCAGCTCCAGGCCTATAAACACATGGTCAAGTGAGTGAAAGCAGCTATGTAGTCTACTAAATGTGCCTCCTAGGTTGGCCTCACACTCCAAGAAACCTCACTGGCCCCCGCTGCAATCCCAGTTGTCTTCTGTCATGTCACCTTATATGTGAAATCTTGTATCTTGGGTAGCACCTATATCCTGTCCCCAACCCTCAGAAGGAAAAGATAAGGGATGTGATTTTTACAGTCTAGATATGAAGTGTGCTCTACATGACTAATAAGCTATAGCACTTTTTATATTACTAGAGAAATTCCCATGGCAACATCCTTAGCTGACATGTTCTTAAATCTTGGAATGATCCTACCAGGTATCAGGTTTTACCCTTGTCATCATCTCCTCGTTGATCAACAAATTGTCACCCAACATTGCTCATATTTTAGCAAGGCTTTTCCTGTTCATACAAAGCTGGAATCAGTTCAAGATGGCAGATGCATAATGACTGAAAAAAAAATAATTCTAAAAAGCCTGTGCAGCCGCATAATCAGTAAGCACCCATAATTGCCCTTTAGAGTGTGGCATCACATAGCATTCCTGATCTAGCCAAGATTTCCTATCAATGCTCCTAGTCCTGCAATTGTTTGTGCAATTTTGGTCTTAATAAGGCTACTGTTTGCAGAATCAGGACCTCAGCGAACAAGCCTTTTGCCTCGACACTTGCCTCCTTTATTTGCCATTTATACTTCTGATGCTATAGAAATAACTGCCATAATAAACAGGGAATGGGAGTTATAACCGCATAGAGACGATGAAAGGGTTTATAATCTCATTGCTGTTATTTGGTTTTTCTTTTTTTTTTTTAATTTTGTCTTAGACACAGTACTCCTTCAACCCAGTCTGTAATTAATTTTACTACATCACCAGTTATCTCTGCTCCCTAACCAGCCTTGTCATTTTAATTTTTCACAGTCTTTCTTTTTTTCTATCCATGTGCCTGCTCCTGTATCTTCGTGAAGTCTCATCAACTCTGGCCCAAAGCCTTAGGCAAATTTGCCTGTAATGCACTCCTCTACTTCAGACATAAGAGGGAAAAATACCACTGCCACAAAAGAGGAGGAAAAAAAAAAAAAAAAGGAAGAGAATTTTTGACCATAGCTTTGTCTAGGAATTCAGAGACTCCTGGAGAGCTCAGTTAAAACTCAGGCATCCTTTCAGCTTGACTCTTGCTTATAACAAAGAACAAATTAAAGTGCTGTGGGAGATGGGACTACAGGAAAAGGGGCTACCTGGAACCCAGTAAACTCAGTAAAAATAAATAAATAAATAAATAGTTTAGGTCTCTGAGGATGGTTCTGCAGAGGCAGATGCAGAGATTTTTACGGTAGTTTTCCCTGCACTTTGAAAACTTCTTTGATATTTGCCATAGACAGGTTAGCACTTCGCTAGGCCATCTCAGGTAGGTTTGTTGAAAGTGCTTGCTGTCACAGCTAACACAATGTTAGCTTTGACGTGGGCTGAGCTAGCACATGAGTCTGCCCTAACATGCCTACAGGCTCTTCTGAAAAGCTCAGCTAAAATCCTGCTACCCTCTTTTTATACGTCCTTCCAGGAGTTGGTCAATGACAGTGTAAAATCTCAAGGGAAACCCCTTTCGACAGATTTCTCTGCAACCGGGCCAGATGTCTAAATAACCTCATAACTATCAAGGTCTCCCGACCATCCTGTGTAATCCCCATTTCACACTGTGGAGTTTTCCTGTGGCTCCTTCCGTACTCTACCCTACCCTGCCTTCACACTGGCTTTTATATTTCCACCCTCAAGAAATCTCCAATTCCTGCAATGTTTTCCTCAGTGTTTCTCCCCCTGGATCCTACCTAACCATGTGCAATAGGCTTTCTTTTTCCCATCAGTTGACTATTTCTCCACTGAGAATTCATCCCATTCAGGTCAGGAGTTTTCCTTTCCTGATATTACCCAAAGAAGTCCTCTACACTGCTTCCATTTCAATTTCTAGGTTTTCTTATCCACAGTTATTTATCTTAATGCCCCTGACACTCTAACAGCCACTTGCATCAAAAGTCCCCTAGGTTCCCTCCTAGCCTTTCTTCCATTGGGGTGGTGAAACTTCTTCCATTTGTTTTTTCTTCTGAGTTAACTCCTCTTCTTCTGCACTAACCTAAACTAAAAAGCAATGCAATCCAAAGTCAAGGGAGAAAATTATTTGTTTACCTAAAATTAAAGATCATAGCAAAGCATACATTAGAAAAATAAATACAATAGAAATACAGCGAGTCAATGAGCAGAACACTGACTTTACAGTCATTTCGCTTGAGCATGTATAATATCTTCTTATCAAGGAGTATTTGAGCACACGAATTTACCCATACACCATACACCATCCACGTAAAGCTGGGAATCATTGCTATCCCAATTATAGTGGGAGGATACTGGAGAACTCAGGAGTTCAAAGACTGAGGATCTTGAGCGTGATCACCAGAAATGCTGATGGCAAAACAGTAATGGTATGCAGATGCCCCACAGGCTAAGTTAGTATTCTAACTATTGCAAAGTAAAGCTTTTGGCTTGGGACATGAGATGCATGTTCTCTTTCTTGTCCTGCCCAAGACATCCTGGGGCAACTTGGGTATGTCTACTCATCTCACCAGACCTTCCTTGTAATACTGGGAGGCTGATTCCTTGGCCTATCTGGATAGAAAGGTCTTAAAAACAAAGCTGGGTCTGTGTCAGCCACAGAGCAGTGTGATTCCATGTCAGCCAAGTGCTGTTACTATCAGTGTAAAATCTATTCTTTTTAGAAGAGGTACTACCTTATTCTTGATCAATTTCTTCAACAGCTAAGTCTCAGTCTCATCACCTCTCTCACCTGTCACCATGGGGACCATGCACCAGGCAGGATTCTTACTTATTCAAGGGTCACTTCATGTTTGTACTGCAATTAGTGTTTTATTTTAAGGAAAAACTTATTTACTGTGAGGGTGCCTGAGGACTGGACCGGGTTACCCAGAGAGGTTGTAGAGTCTCCTTCCCTGGAGACAGTCAAAACCCACCTGGGCATGATCCTGAGCAATGTGATCTAGGTGACCCTGCTTGAGCAGGGGGTTGCACTAGATGATCTCCAGAGGTCCCTTCCAACCTCACCCATTCTGTGATTCTGTGATTTCTCTTTCTTCCTGCTTGTTTCCTATGCTCAGATACTCAAATTAATGCATAGCAGTGTGGGAAATCAAGATCTACAACGCCACAGTTAAAGATTTTTTTTAGCCCTGCTTATTTCATTAGAGGTCTAGACATGCAAGACATTATTTATCCTATAAACAAAATATGGATAAATGCAAGGATTCTAAATTAAAGGATTAATTAAAACCCTTAACTGTTTCCAATATGTCTTTTTTTTCCAAATAGAAGGCTCCATTGTATAATTTTAGCATATCATTTACATTCAATATTATGTTCATGTTATTTACATATATTCCGACATTTGTAATTATACACTTTTCGCTTTCACAGTGCTTGGATGTGATAGTCATTTGCCAGGAGTAGAACTATTTAAGGGGAGTGGAGATTAGGGGATGGTGGAAGTTTATCTCTGCAGAGACAAAAGGATCTCCTACCATGTGAAAGCATCTAAAACTGGGTATGAGTTGTGAAGGAAAGAAAGGGTGCCCAAATCATTTCACCAGAGCTGAATATCTTTACAAGTTATGTCTTCTTGCTCAGACCCTGAACATGAGACTTAGAGTTCTACTGTGTATATTCGCATTAAAAAACATTTTGGGTTCCGTAGGAAATGATGGAAAAAATTCCAGGTTCATATTATGAAAGATTATATGGCCTTCACCCTCAGCTGTTTTAAGCCAGCAGAGTTCTAGCATAGTCAGACAGAAGCCTGGCTCAGCATGAAATCACTCTGATTTCCCCTGAAAATGATACTTATAAACTCTACATAGTGCAAGGGCACCAGTGAATCTACCCATGATGACGTGATATGGAGGACATTGCACTAGTATAGTGACTTTCTTCCAGTGGAAATGTAAAGGAGAGGTTATAATCCTTTATGGAGCTAAAATAACCTAAAATATGAATAAAATGGGAGTTAGCTCTAGGAAGCTGGATGGAACTGAGGTAAAAGTAGACATAAAAAGCTGAGGTAAAAATCAGCTCTTACTTTCGGTTCAACTGTTTCAACTATTTCCACGTTGATCAGAATCAAACAGCAACATGGACTCTTTCCGTCCTTTCATATAAGGCCTTACATTATCACAGTTTGAGGGATGAGCAAGAGGGGAAGGTATTATATATTATTTCATGTATAGGTCTTCTTCTGAACTAGTCATGCTAGTCTGTCTTCTCAGTTGATGGAGAGAATTAGGAACTTTTGGGACATAATTCATCTCATCCTAAAGCACATATCTAAATTAAATCAAAGACATAACAGAGCCACTGAGTTACAAGGCAGCCTACGTTGACTGCTTCTTATGTAGATATCTACAAGAAAAAGTAATGACTGAAGGCTATTGCCAAGTGGTAACACTTTAAGGGGAATAAGCTGACACTCAGACTCCTTTTCTTGGCATCACAGCTGGTGTTCAACCTTTATACATATGTCTTAGGGGCAGAAGAGGAGCCATACTTTTAAGGACCACTTCCTCTGATATAGGATTTACTTACCTTGGCTGGGATTCATGGGTAGTATGGTACACATGCACTGGTCCTCTTGACTGAGTTTTCAGTAGAGGACTTCAGAGGTTCACAGTTGAGGTTCAAGTACTATTCTGCCACTATCCATCCTGATCCAGTTAGTTCTCACTCATAAAATGACCAGACAGTGCACAGTTTAGGAGCTTGCATGGGCCACGGAGTGTCCTCAATAATAAGTATAAATGAAGTCATCCAGCATGGAAGAAAGTAAAGTTCTACAGACAGGAACTGGCTACACCATTAGGTCTCACGGTCAGATGGCAGAAGGTAGCCTGTTCTATGTATTAGCATTGATGTAATCTGTGAAGTAACCTCTTGCATCCTGTTCCCAGCACGTGGAGTGGGTTTATCCACAGCTTCACTCTTCAGCGTGGGTTCAGGACATGCATACTTACACCTTTGGAAGCCAATAGCATATTGGGCATGGGCCAGGATGGCAATACTTATACATAAATTGGAGCTTCCTTAGCACTTAAATTGATGTGAACCTGAGAAGTCTGGAAAGAGACCTTTACGCCTGGTGAAGCAAGAGCAGTGATCACTTTTCAAGACTTTACTGGCAGAGACATCCAGCTTTGGTGAAATGATTCCTTCCATCTATAACTAATAACCAGTTTTAGAAGCTTTTACATGGCAGGTGTCTTTCAGCTGGAGAAACTTGGGTTTTTTCAAGTTGAGATTTCTTACTTCTGTTTCTGCTGTTGGTCTGGCCAGAAAACTCATTTTCCTGCTTAACTATGTGCTGTGTAGAGGAATATAAATTTTATCTTGCGCCACCAGGGCACCTTGCAACCAAGAATTTTATGATACAGAGAGGGCGTCATAAAGTTCCTCATCTTTCAGCTCAGTAAAGCAAAGCACAGAGGAATCTTCTGAACAGCTGAAGCACATCATTATTATTATTATCATTCATAAAGAGCAGTGTTCACAACAAGCCAGTGATTTAAAGGTATTAGAAAATAACAACATGGTGAGGATCTAACTTGGGAAAATGCCGTTTAATTTAAAATATATATATATCTTAAACATAGGTTCAACTAGGATAGCCTGGAAGGGCTTGCTAAAGTCACAATGAAATGGAAGGTGAATACATGCTTAGATTTTTTTTTTTCTCAGAAAAGTAAAAAATTATGAACATACAGAAGTTCTTTGAATCACAAACTAAGGATAAGAGTAGAATAAACAAGAAAATTCTTGTACAAGTTACTATGTGTATATGCACATATACACACGTGTTCCTATTGATTAGTGCATACGTGTGTGTGTGTGTAAACATATATATATGTATGCATATACAAACACACACACACACCCAATGAGTATTGCTCTAGCCACTAAGACTACATCAATGCTAATAAATTAAACAGTGTCAGGGTGTGGACATAGGAACTTGATCATCTGTAGTGTTGAAACCTTAGGCTAATCCCCAAATGCTTTTGACCTGGACCAGCTAGTACTTCCCCAAACAGTTCTTGGAGACAGTTTTAGAGACATCAGAAGCCAAGGACTATTCTTAACAGGCAGTTTGGATACGCCTCTAAGAAAGTTCAACAGCGTGGACATGGCCAGAGCCTCCCTGCTGGCTTCAGAGGCAGGTTACAAGTCTAGACATAGTTTTATTTATATGCGTGTAGCATGACAGACTGGTTTCCAGTGTTAATATGTGTATATTTTTCTCTGACCACTGAGAAAAAAGAGACTCAGGTTGGCATTGACTGCAACCCAGGAAAGGCTTACTTTGTTGGTGTCCCACCACCTGATGTCACTTCTACACATCTGCTGCTCCCATGGCAACCTCTTCTCTGATGTCATTCTGAAGTTTTGGCACCCTTTCAGCCTTCTCCCTTTCCTCACTGTGTCCATTTGAAGGCTGGGGAGCATCCTTCCAGCTGGAGAGCCTTGGGACAGCCCGCTGCTGCAGTTCCAGAGAGTCACCAGGAGACAGACCTCCACAGGGCTGTTGGTGACTGTCATTTTTCCTCGCCGTAGAAAGGATGTCTCTGTGACCTGCCTTACACTGGACAGTGTTTGTCTTTCCATCTGACCTGGCTTCAAGGGGCTGCAGGTTCAGTTCCTTTAATTGTCCTCTAACATTGTCCACTGTTCCATTTTCTTCCATATCTGCAAAAGAAAAACTGGTCTGTGCTTCACAATAACTGTAAGACCCTGCCTTCATCTTTCCTTCCCTTCAATGCCTTTACTGTCTGTTCGAAACCTGAATGAAAACGTAATTTCTGTTGGAAAAATAGTTGTTAGAAAGATCATTTTAACTGGCCCCAAATTTCAGTTTGGCAAAAATAAGTTGTGAAAACCCAATAATAATAAACTACTTCCACAAATAAACATGCAGGAATCAAAAACTGAAATGGAAACAGCTGCCTTCTTCATATTGATACAAAAATAGCTCCTAAAGCATTATCCAATGGTTATCAAATGTTTCAATAAATGCTTAATAATAAAGTGTATAGAATAGAGCTGTTTTATAAGCTGTTTATTGCTAAGGCTGATAATCATCTTTAATACTTACTACACATCTATAAATACATCAACCCTCTATGAATCAAGCTATAACATAATGCACAACTTTTTCTTTCCAATGTTTGAAACCTACCCAAGGCAGAATCTGTGACCTGTAATGCTGTTTATGAAATTATTTTGAGAAAATACAGAAAAAGCGAAATAGATTCTATACATTTTTCATGTGGAAAGGCAAAATGTTTACATCATAGTAATCCAAAGGGTTATCAAGCACAGAGGCAGAATCACTTGTAGTGTTATGATAGATGGCTTTTGAGTTGACAGCATGTGCTATCACTTCAGTGCAAGACTGGCAGTTTGCTTCATTTGGATGCTGAAAACATTTGTGAAATTCTGTCAGTCCTCTCCCCGCAACACCAGAAAAAAATGAAATTGCTCAAAAAACAAACCTTGGATATTTGCTCCAAATCCGTAACTAGTCCTAGACTACATATCACATTTGTTACTGGATGACACTGGCTTTTGCTGACCATTCATAAGCATCTATTACTGGTCCTGACCACAAGCGATCCCCAGAAAATGTGTTGCTACCACTACATATTATTCAAATTTGTCTTTCAAGTTCAACCTTTAGCAGCCTGAGACTTTTTGCCTAATGGTTTCTAGCACCCACTGCTCAGATAAATGGCAGAGGAACATTTCTGCTATCCAGACCATACCAGAGCTCGTACCACTGTGAAGAAATGAGACAGGTTCAGCTCTGACAAAGGCATTACAAAGAGACCTGTCTGCTCAGTCTTTATAACGGGGACAGTAGAAGGGCTGCAAAGAGGTCAGCAGGTTTTGCAGATCCCTAATGAGAAAGCAACATCCCACAGATGTTGCAAAAGCTCCTCCTGATGTCAGCGGCAACTTTGCTTGGCTGAGTCTGAAGTCTACAAGGTCATCTGGAAGATTATTTTCACCGTTATTTGATTAATGAATATACTACTGGTGTAACTGGGAGAGAGAATGTGGCTTTGCAAGGTAGAGGGAACAGCTCTGCTTGCTACTTCTTTTGAGTAAATTATGCCTCACTTTCCTCTCCAAAGGATGCATCATGCATGCACTGGCTTCCTCTACATTATTTGAGGAGCTATGCAAAAGAGGCTGACACAACATACATTCACAGTCAACATTAATCACTGTTTTGTGTGACCTTACCATCCCTCTTTCTGAAAGTCATTCTATATAAAATATATTCATATATTTTCTCTCTCTCTCTTTCTCTCTCTCTCTCTCTTTTTCATCCCTTCTTTCTTTTTTATAATTCTTTAATTTTAAGCTTTATTTGCTTGCATCATTTTCCCCATCTTCATTTCTTCTCTACAATATCCATATTTCTTTATGCCTCTGCTCACTTCTTCTGTTCAGAAGTGTTACTTTTTTCTGACTAGTATGCCTATAGCATTCAATTTCAGAATTGTGCCTTTTGGAAATTTACTGGAAAGTTCTCAGTAGATTTTCAGTAAGTCACTTCTGTGCATAACAGTTTTCCTCCTCATGACTGTTTTAGCATTAGGTAATTGGCTTTTTTAAAGTACAAATTATGTACATGACTGGCTTCAATTTTCTGCTTTTTACTCATAAACAAAGCAATCAGGTCATGATCCCCTATAACAAAGCTTCATGTTATTTTTTGCTATGTATTTAAGCCTTTTTCATCTTCAAAGGTGCCATCTTCTGTTGCAAAAATACGTCTAATCAAACAAGTTTGAGTTATTCTTGAAGGGGCTACTAGCTTATCTTTGGATATGGGTGGTTTCAAGGATGAAATATTGCCTAGACATTTGTAGGATCCAGTAGTCTATAATACCACACTTTTCTCCATTTTTAATTAAATTGAATACACATTGTTTTCTCAATAAAACCCACATTAACTGGATTAAGAATCGGCTAACAGACAGCTCAGGTAGCAATTACCAATAGGAAATAATTCTGGGAGCACTGAATGAGTTGCAGTACCAGTCACTATCACTGAAACGGATGCTTTTCAGTGTTTTTATCAGTGATCTGGAATTAAACCTAAAAATGATTCTAATGAAATTTGCAAGTGGCAGGAGGAATGGCAAACTGGTAGAAGGAAAAGGAGGAGGAGCTGTCCTGAGCAACCTAAAAACAAAAGATGCAGACCATATTTGCAGAGCAGGGACTCTCTTCAGGAAAACAACCAACAGTGATTTCTGGGTGATTTCTGGTGGTACAAAAGCCAAAAGGACTAATGAGATCTTTTAGTTGTAGAAGGGTAGTGAGTGATGTCAGGGAGGTGATTTTACTTTTGCAGCAGCACAAAGCAGACATCCAAACCAGATCTGAATAACGCAGAGGGCAAAGAGCCACCGGAAGGGTTCCAAGTTGCCCAAAATGGTGAGAAACTCCCAGAAATGCAACAATTTGCCTCTAGTGGACAAGCACTTTCCTGGGAAGAAGCAGCATGGCACTGAAGGGATCTTCAATGTAAGAAACGTATCCTGTAGATGAAGCCCAAACACTGGAAACTGAAGCTAGGAAATGTAAACTGGCACAGAATACAACTTTTCAGAGCTGAAGGTGACAAAGCACCAGAATAAATTGCAAACAGAAGCCATATGTTCTTCCACCTCTGGATGCCTTTCTTTTAATCATGCTTTCAAAAGTTATTTAATTCAAGAGAGAGAAAGAATTATGTGAAACTGAGATTTTTGTTACAGAGTAGGTCAGCCAAGGTAATATCTTGATCCCTTCTCGCCTGCTGTGCTACATATCTGTGCACATGGGTTTCTTCATCATCTCCATCCTCACCTATTTGTTCTGAGACAACAGCCAGGGCTCCTAGCACCATCGGACTTTGCACTGTAGAAACAGCGCAAACAGAAGCGCTCTGCCTTGCAAGACTTACTGTGATGATTAATAACAAAGACTGTGAATATTTAATTGTTTTAGAAAGGTAGGATTTCTTATGGGGGGAAGAACTATAAAGCAGAAACTAAACAAAAGGACTGTAGCTTTGATTGCCTCTCTGTCTCCAAAACCAACAGCACTTTAAATAGGGGGAAATCAAACATTAGACGTTTCCAAGTCATACGTATTAAATTCACTTAAGATATTGTTATCCTTGTTTAGATTTGAACATATCGGGGAATCTTTTTGTCTTGCAACTATTCCTAAAAGACTGTAAGTGGCTGGATTTCCTTTTTCTGACAAAAATCTTCCCATGAATTATTTACACGATGGCTCCAATCAACACTATACCTGTCAGCCTCCCCAGCCAAAATGAAAGTTCACTATGTAAAGGTGCCAAGGGAGAATGGCAGTCTCCCACTGCGAGTTTATAGACAGAACTAAGTCAGCACGCATTATGTGTCAGAGCCGACTTCAGACAGAATCAGATCCTTTGATCTCAGACCTCCACAGGAAGCTTAGATCTCAGACAAATTAGATAAAAAATGAATTTATAGCAGATATGTATCCTAAGGCACACAGCTGAACGCTGTATTTTGGAGGAGTACAGCAAATATCAAAACACATAAACTGCAGAATTTCCTCTCTCTCCTCTCTCTCTCTCTCTCTCTGCTTTTGTGATGGATGCTAATGAAAAGAAGATAAAGCTCCAACTATCTTCTTCCTGCCTCTTATGTAATCCACAGGCTTTGGGAAGGAGGAAGAAAAAGAAATTCCCAATACAGAGTAAATGGATAGGTCAGCAGGGTTTTCATGAATGCCCTTAGATGTGTGCTGTGGGCGGATGAGAAAAAAAAAAAAAAAAAAACCCACTATAGGAGCATTTCACACTGCAGAGCGGGAAGCCAGTGCTTTATGCTGCCAGCTGCATGCCCCAGAGGCTGTCTGCTTTTCAGTGACCTCAGAAGAAGTCGTGTTTGATCAGCAGATGATGAAAAGACGAGTCTCGAGGAGGTGTGCAGAAGATGGTTTTTTTGTGAAAGTGACAGTTGAGGGTGAAGGGGGACACAAAACATGGGAGAATGGAGCCATTTTGGGGTACTGGCTCTGAATCACTGCACAGAAAGCATGGCATGAAGGTCCTTGAGAAGGAACTGCGACTGGTGGCGGTCACAGGGAGAGTGTGGAAATGAGCCTTGAGTAATTTTTCCTGCTCTCCCCACCTCTGCCACAGTAACAGACCTCGGTGCAGTCATCCACAGCCTGCAGGCTCATCCGGAGCCTTCTGAGCATTGCACAGTGGCTATCTCTGTGCTATTACAGTGGTGGAACCTGGAGATCTGGTTAAGGTAGGTCCTGTTGCTCCAGACATGCTGTGGACATAAGGGGAATGCCAGTCCCTGTCCTGCTCCAAAAACACTAGATGAAATCATGGACTCACTGAACTCAAGGGTGATTTTGCTGCTCCCTTCAGTTGAGCTAGGATTTCACATAATATATCCACAAGGAGAGAAAATACTGAGTAGACAAATACTCAGGAGGAAGTAACAAAGCAACAGACCTTCTGGCCACTGATCTTATACATACCTGTAGTTTGTAACAGACCTAAACGAACCCTTTTGATGTCAGACTATTTACAAATCTGAGTCATTCTCATTCTGCAGTCTCACCTCCTCTTGCAGAAATGCTGCTTTCATTCTCTCCTCGATTGCAGCAAGGCTGGATGACAGCTGAACGAGGCTGTGCCTGGGTCTGGGGTGCGCTGGTACTAGCCTTTGCCTGCTGTGGCACATTAGCCTGCTCAGTCCTTGTTTCTGCAATGAAGCAAACAGTTGCATCTCTCTCAGTCCACCCTTGGCTCAGCACCAACTACTGCTTTAAGCAATAATAAATTGCTGGTGAATTACCCGATAATCTAGCATGTGTTCTTTCTGCTCAAAAGGAGAGAGGCTTGTTTTATGATTATATCATCTTGTGTTTTACCACTAGGGATCCCACTTTTTCTCTCCAGTAAAATCTTTCCTTGTATTGTCACCATGTTCACTAATATTAGAGATTCAGACCTTATTGCAGCTAGTGTTCACGATGCAGTTTAGGAGAAAGGTTCTTTAGCCTAGATTTGCAGAGTTACTTGAAAGAACGAGTCCAGTGAAACTCGTGAGAAGATAGGCCTTGAGACTAGTGGGAGATTAGTGTTTAAAATACTTTATTAACTGGAATGTGCACTGGCTCCTTCAGTACGAGTTACCTGTACCCATGGCTAGGTTTGAACACATTTGGAAGATCAAGTTATTGGTGGCTTCCAACATATCTAGAAGGTTAGGGTTGCAGTTTGGGAATTAATTCACAGAGCAGTCATGACCATGTCATTTGACCCTCAGTTTTTTTCTTACACAAAAAAGTTTTACGCCTCCCATATTGGGAAAGCTTCTTTTAGGTAGTTATCTTTGTTTTTAAGGTCAATATTTAAAAAAAGAACTTTAAGGTAAGCTAGAAGAGGTGTGGCTTTGTCTGCGGAAAGAGCTCCAAGGAAGCAGCAGCCTTCCAATGGCCACTTTGACATATATGATGCTGAAGATGTATTATGGGATGTCAGCATGGCTACGCAGCTGCCTCTGTTGCATTCACATTGCAGCTGTGTCTGCTTCTTGGTCAGCGCTTCAACTTTGCATTAACCTCACCACAGCAATATATTGCTATTACCTGTTATCATGAAAATGCTGTGGCTAAATGGATAATCTTGGCGCTTGAAATCATGGTGAGCATTTCCTTTGTTTATCAGTTCCCTAACTGCCCTACAGAAATCAGATCTTCTTCATGTTTCAAACACATGTAAAACTTTTTGCAGCCAGGAATCAGGCATTTGTTACAGGTGCATACCCCTATGACCCTGAACTATGTCGCTTACTGCCAAACTCTGCAGAGCTTTCTCTGAGTGCCACAATCTACCTGAACAATTTGCAGAAGATAAATTGAGATGCCAAAAAAAAAAAAAAATGAGACAACCAGAGGAAATAAGTGAAAGAGTCATGAGAACAGCAGCATGGGGGATATATAATTATACAAACTGATTGTAAGTCTTATCCAAAGCCAACAGAAATTAGGAAAAAGGAAACAATCAGGCTATTTTTGGGTAAGACTTATGAATAGTACTGAAAACTACTCAGCTTGCTTTGCCATTGTCAGTATATTCTGTTTTGGTGATTCTGTAGATTAGTTAAATCAAAGAGATTTATCCTCTGCAAGTATAAATTTCTGTGGCCATTTCCAACTTACTGTTGCTTTTGCTTTTCTTGAGCCAGCAGACTGCAAGAAGACCAAGGATGAGTGTGGATGCTGCGGAACTCAGCATAACAACAACGATCATGCTAGACTTCTCTCCCACGGGGACAGGAAAGATGGCAAATGGTTGAGACAGCACAGTAAGTTTAGCCCCTGAGAATTCAAAGCAGTGAGAGTCTGTTAAAAAATTGAGGACACTGGTTTCATAGTGAAAACGGCAGGTTGTAGCCTTTTAACAAAGATGCTGCTGCTAAAAGTATATACTGGAAGAGCCCAAAAGTCCATCTATCCCCGTATCCAACATTAGCCAACAATATTCATCTAGGACTGAGTACCAGAACAAGGTAAATGTGTAATCAAACTTCTCCAGTTTACGTCCCAAGCCTTCAGCCCTTCCTGAGGTAGAAGTAGTCTTTCTAAATGTAATAATCCTTATCAACATTTCTTCCATGATTTTGTCCAGCTGACTACCAAATCTAGAAAATATATTCACAGAATATCTGTGTCTAAGGCCAACCAAATCAGGCCCAGATAGATGATATATATATATATCTCCAGCCTAGCAAGACAGAGAGGTTGATTGCAATGAGAAAGGTGCTAAGTCATACACAGATGTTACAGGCTATACCTCATTCATTTGAACGTAAGTTATGGAGAATCTAGAAACATTCACTGGCATTAAGCTTAAGTCCAGGATACAGAAGACTCCCAGTGAACTTGTTAGTATTCTCCATTGTGTCCTTTCCAGTACACTAGAGAGTACTGGGGTGTGGACTCTGGCATTCAAAATTGATGCAAAAACTTGAACTGTGAAAAAGCTGTCTGGTGCATTTTTAGTCTGGGCCAACAAACATTCTCCCAAGCTATGCACACAAGCAGTCAGGATTTAGCACAGGCCCTGTATCTCTTTGAAAATACCTTTTGAACGGAGATGCGCTCTGAAAGGAGAGGAGTTTAATAAAACTGGCCATTGCATGGTCTATAGACTGATTTGAAGGATATGGATGAGCTCACCAGCATATTATCTGTCTTATCACCTGACTCCTTTTCAGTCCTAACCCCATAATTCTAATGATTTCACTGGATGTGTATTTCTTTTACTTGTTTGAGTTAACACTTCTAATAAATATTTGAAAGCCTTTTTTTCACTGACTCTCAAAAATCAGGAACTCCATCAGATGGAGACTTAGAGACTAGGGTAAGTATCTGTAGGTACTTTTATCTGAAACTAATTAGATTTGTGTCAATACTGTCCACTCAAACAGAACCAAGCTTTACCAGAACAATGTGGGAAGCATGTTCCAATAGGGAAAAATTTGCCTGCAGATATACACGCATATGAACTTCAGCTGAGAGGAGATAAATAAACTCACAGATATCAAGAACTCTACACAGACAGGTGCTCAAAAGTTGCATTTCATGCTACTCTAATGGTTTGTGATTAGACTGCTGTTGGTTTAAATGGAAAGTGGATGGATCAAGCCTCCTGGGATACCTATCAGTTAAGTGAGTATTAATCCAGAATAAGGAGCAAGACCACACAGCAATGTGATAAATAATCTACTCTCCCCAGGAACTACCGCTGAAGAACTTGGGATCATTGTATTCAACATCAGCTGCATCTTCTGAGCTCACTCCAAATCACAAGAGAATGCCAAGGTACACACAGAAAGCTAATCATGAAAATGCATCCCAAACATCTATTATTTGATTGTTTAATTTTTGTTTATTTATCTTAAATGATAAGCAAATATCTTCTAATAGAGTCTGGCAGTATAAAAGTCTTTATACTGTCTCCAGCATGGCTCCCAATTACACACAAGAAAAAGGGATTTCTTTTTTGGTGTGCATTTTCATAATGCATACTAAAAGTACAAAATACTCTGATTTACAAAGACGATGCCTATACAGATAGATAAACTGTCTGCATGGCTATCTGTAAACATCTCTTTGCAACACTCTGACTAGCTAAATGCTTAATGAAAGGGATCTGTATTTGATTAGAGGAAAGGACATATTTTGACTCCTCTGAAATAACTTCCAAAAATCGTTTCGTTATGCTATACTTCCCAATGAAGAGTCTGATCCTCTGAGGTGCTGACTTTCCATCTGCGCTCACTGCAGTGAAGTCAATGTGGGTGTTTGGGTCAACACATACCCCTTTAAAGGCCCACCTCCTACTATATTCCCTGCACCATAATTCTCCTTTTGCAAAGCCATGGAAAATACTATGTTGATTACCACTTTTGACTTGGAGGAGAAAAGATTTCTCATTAAAAAAAAAAAAGTCTGGATCTTCGTTTAATCCTGGAATGGGAAGGGATTTCTTGGGTCATAAATCCTATCCCACGCTATTGTATGTACTATGTTATACACAATCACCCATAGGTTTATCAAGTTTCATCCAAAAGTAGTTTGATTTTCTGCCTCCACTATTCCAATCTATTAAGATAGGTTGTTCAGAAGCATGAGACTCTAAATATTAATGGCCTTCTTTAATTTCTAGCCCAAATTATTCTTGGCCATTTTTTACCAGCACTATCATTTTAAATATTTCATCAGTCATTTCCACTTAACCACTTCCAGCTCTCAACTATTTACCTCTCTGATGTACAAGCCAAACTATCTTGGAGTTTTTCCTAAAAATGATCATTCCTCTCCCCATTTATGGGTTCTTCTCTGTGCCTACTCTAACTTGAAATGATCTCTGAACATGGGTAAACAAAATTACGTTAGTACTCCAAAGTAGTTCTCATCAGGGTTTTATGCAGTGGCACACACACATCCCTCTGGAAATATTTCTAGCCATACTCCCCTAGGCTTCTTTCCAGCTGATGGATCCCAGACTGTATACATAAATGAGAGTTAAGACCTCACACATGGTGGTACAACATCTATATCTTAATTTGTCTTTGGAATATCTGCTGGTGCCTGTCAGAGGAATTGTTCCTACTCTTCCATTGATACACCCCAGCGCTCATTCTGAAACACAAAAAAACAGTGCTTTAACCTTATATACCTTTAGGGCCAGATTTGCAAAGAAATTCAGGCCCCAAAACAGTTAGGCAGGTGCTTATCTCTGAGATTTTTAAAGCCAGAGTTCCAGTGTTGCCTTGTCCCCCAAAGTCGCCATGTTCTTCTCAGCTGGTACTTTTAAGGAGGAATAAGCACACCTGCCGCTTCACCGTTAAGAGGTTGCCTCTTGCAAGCTGCATAGCTGTGGAGGTCCCAGCATCACATCAGGGATAGTCCTGCAGAGCCAGGTCCTGGTAGCACGCTCTGAATGTCTGTAAGGCTCAAAGCATGTCTCACCCAGAAAGACTGCCAGGTGCAGACAAATAATAAGTGAAAAGCAGTACAAAAGAGTACTGGGAGCACAAATGAGGGACACTTACTAAACACAGTAGAAAAAAAAATAGGGAATGGTCAGATTCAATTTATAGGAAAAAAATTGCTCCGATTGCTTAGGTGCCAGAGTACCTAATTCCCAAGGGGGGCTCATAGCTGCCAAACGCAGGAAGAGAGAAGCACCTCTCTCTGGCAACACATCTCTGTTCTAACCCATCTTAATTTTTAGGATCTTGAATCAACGGTACAGGAATCACCCAGCTCACTGGCTGCCTGGGTGATGCCGGCTTGGTCATGGAACAAAAGTCAAGCTATTTAGAGGCTTAGCATGACTCTCTTCATTCAATCAAAGTTTAACTCCCTTTATACATCCAGACCACACAATGTCTGTCTCCTGTAGGACTTTGTGTTCAGTTACCAAATAAAGCAAAATGTAGAAAATAGAACCTACCTGGAGGTGATGTGACAGTGAATATGAGGGTCCAGTTTGTGCCTGAGCTGGAGACAGCCAGATTGGTAAAGCTTGCACGTCCATCTATGACCTGTACTTCAGTGAGCCCTACAGAGTAATAATAATAGCAATAGTAATAATAGTGGCAATAGTAATAGTAACAACAACAACAACAACAACAACAACAAAAATAATAATAATAATAATAATAATAATAATAATAATAATAATTCATTGCAGTTAACAGCTTCCAGATAAGCATGACCCTAACCACATTCCTGAACTCAACAGAGAAAATGAGCAAACCAGGAGAGTTCTTGTGACTTTAATGGGACTTGGGAAGGCCTGAGACCACTGTCCTTCCTAACTGCAAATTTTCTATCTGATCCCAGAAATTTTGCATGGGGCTGAGTCTTCAAAGGTACTTGGGTACCAAATTCTGGATGGAAGGGAGGATCTGAGTTGCTGAATCTCAGCTCCCCAAGCAATTTGTGAAATGGGGTTTATTGTACATATCCATATCACAGGAGTGTAATATGAATAAAGATGTTAAGGGGATCAGGCAGAGGTAGTGGGAGCTATACAGATGCTCTAGAAAGTTCCCAATACTCATTTTTTGATTTAGCTCATGTCTTGTGTGACTAAGAATGTCACCAGGGAAACAAAAATGCTTAGGATAGTGTTAATGAGATACTTAATATTTTCTGTACTGATGGGATGGTCTCAAAGAGCCAGCTACAGGAGCTAAAGGAAAAACAATGACTGTTTTAACCCCTTTCTGATTTGCAAATGTTTCACCTCGTCCTTTGGGCATATCACCTGCTGTCCTGCTGCTAAATCATTTTGAACTTTTCTCCATCCCTGTTAGAAGCTGTAAAAGGGATCTGGCCATGAAAAATGTCTACGGTGACTACCCTGTGGTCATACAGGAGACACTTTATCTCAGCTAGAAATATGATGGGGAAGTCTCCATGGAGAGCATTAAAATGAAACCTGGGACCCAGATTCTCCATCACTTTACCTCTTGTTCTGAGCTATTAGGGAATGTGTTCTGACTCAACATTTGCCCTAAGTACTTTTTTTTTTTAGGGGGGCAGGCTCTTCTTAAAATATATAGTTGATTTTGCAACTGGATCTCTATTTAGCTGTGTATATCTTTGATCACCAGCCAAGTCTTGGTCTTTGAGTAATGCTCACCAGGTCTGTGCTTCTTTCAGGCTCTTGCAATGAAAGGGGTAAAATCCTAAAGACTGACAAACTTTCCAAGTGTTGGTTCAGGTGGGAGTAAGAAGTTAAAACTTCCCTAGGATGATGGACTCCATTCAGTGATCAAAAACACTGACTCTCTTGGTTGCTCAAAGACAACACATAATAATTATTTGCTTTATAAAGCTAATGTCTTGACAGTTAAGCAGCACACGTGAAGGTACATAAAGTTTGAGTGTGAGGAGGATATTGCTACTCTTCCATCCCCATACCCAGGATACTAACCAAACTGATGGAATAGCAAACATCTTTGTGAGACGCCTTTAATCAGTGTTTTTGCAACCACAAAAGCATAGGACCGTTCAGCAGCCCTGTGGGGACAGGGCTTTTCATAGTAGGCCAGATTGAAAGACCTTTTCCTATATCAATGCTTACCTTCGTACCTCACTTCCTAGAAGCGTCTATGGCACCCAGCTCAGGATGAGCTGGATTTGCCTTGTTATACCTTTATTAATGATTCTAGTAGCATAAATTTGTGAAGTATCAGGGATATCAGAGATGAATATTTGGAAGGCTCCTTACATGCCAGCTGCAGAGACTTGTAAGGAAAAGTACAGCATTTCTAAATTTCCCTGGGCCTCAGTGTAAAACCCTTCCCCCATTAGCCCAACACTTCAGCAACGGTCATCAAACACTGTTGGGCTGATCCAAACTTTGTGCCAGAAGGGCAGGAGAAAAACAGTGACCTGGGCCTGGGACCATAGGGCAAATGCGTGGCATTCGCTTCACTGATGCCTACAGGCTAGAGAGGCCTTCAGAGGTACCCTGCAGTCATTACCTTAGCACTATGCTCTCCCACCTTGACCCGTATACTCCTGAGTAAGCAAGAAGAATGCAAGATCTTCTGCTCCCTTTAGGCTGTTAGACATTTAATGGAGCATGAAAACATTTCTACCAGCGGCCCATAGGGTAGTTCAAGGCAAACAATTTCTACCATGCCTGCCTCAGTTCCTCTCCCACACTGTGCGCCTACACCTATAGGACAAGAACTAATCAGTGCCACAGTCTGTTCTTTGACGCTAAAGGCACTAGCATGCCCTGGCCTTAAACTCTGCTCTTAAATTTTTACAGCCTCCAAACAGCAGCGCTGCACGCAGGCTACCTATTGAGAACTGTTCATTGCTGTGCTGACTTCCGAGACATGACTAGAAATTGTTGGAGAGAAATCTAGCTATCCTGCACCAAAAGGTGCAGAACAATTTAATAACAGAGATAGTAACGTTACAGTTTCCCTGTCCATGACCTGGTATGTTTAGTTTACTAGTATCCCAGTTAGTTTTGACTACTTATATCTTTCTCCGTGCGTGTACAGCATGTAGCACAACAAACTCCCAAATTCATTGCGGGTCTCCAGGAATGCATGATATGATACGATATATAATACGATATGTATATGCACAGTAATTTATACTGTGCATAAGACTTGCTGAAGACATGGGAATCTGGATTTCTCTAATTGCTCCTTTCTGATCTTGGCTCCTCTATTCATCTATTGAGCATATGACCTTCTTCACAACTATCTATCTGCCTTGACTGCCAAGAGTTTTCTTGGCTCTGATGCTCACTGTAACACCACTTTTGTGGAGGGTGTTGTCAGCTGTGTTCAAATATTTATAATTGCCATTTCTAGTCTATGATGAAGCCTGCAGTACTGTACTGTACTTCTCAACAGAGACTATCTCCGCTTTCGGGCACATATGCTTCAAATCTCAGAATATTATAGATATATATGGGAGTCTTCACAAAGATCTCTCAGGCAAGCTGGTATTTAACGCAGAAGCGAGCTAATTTGGAGCTAAACTACCTTCCATGAGGCAGTTTGGCTGCTGTCAGATGAAGCAGCCTCACTGTGCTAGACGGGACCCATTTCGATTAAATGATGCTTCATATGCTTCAAAAGACGAGTGCAATAAGGACATTTGTCAAAGGAAAAACTGCAGCAAACTATTACATGCAGAACATCTGTACAACGCAGTTCATTCTTTGCTGGAGTTTATTGACTATTAATTTGATGCATGTATCTTTTAAAGAATGTAAAGTGCATTTCTCTTCCGTAACTTTTCTTTCTTTCCTTCTTTCTTATTTTCTTCTTTCTCTCTTTTTCTTTCTTTATCTCTGTCCACCCTACCTCCCTCCCTGTCTTTCTCCTTCCCTCCTTCCACACTTCTTCCCTTCCTCGCTCTCTCTTTCCTTAGCACTGTATTTCATTTTTCACAGCAAAAATCACACAACAGTTAGTCTCCCCAAAGCATTGTTTTCATAAGGCATATACAATCAATAGGAAAAAAATGGGATCGAAGATTTCAAATTGCCAAATTATTGGTTTCTACCCACCAGAAATAATTGAAGTGTCACCATCAGAGCGCTCTGTTCTGTTCATGGCAGGACGTTAGTTGTGTAGTCGTAGTACAGTTACTGTTGCAGAAATGTCTGACCAGCAAAACCCTCACAAAGTATTTCTGTGGTGGGTCACTCGACTTGTGTAAATGCATTTCTCTCAAAATTTAAGTGCCAAGCTGAGGATCTGGCATGGCCTTTGAACAGATCCTAAATTCATATTGCATTTTGTGGTCACCTAAATTATCTCCTACGTGATACAGGCCACAAGATCTTCCCAGTTGATCATGATAGCTGGTCCAATAACCTGTCATTCATCTAGACCGACGTTTCTAAACTTTTGAGGCATACCTCCCTGAGAAGGCATTAAAACCAACAAAAAAGACCTGAAGGATTTTCTAACCTGTAAACATGGAACTACAGCAAGGCAGGAAGAATTCATAATTAACACAGGCATAGGCTAAAAGGGTGGGAAGTCCTAATCTAGAGCATGAGCATCACTTACCTTCCTTACATATTAACTTTTCAAGTCAAATTTAACACGGAAGTCAAATTAATACACACATAATCTTACTGCAAACAAAATGCTTTCCCTATAGTAGGAAGCCTAACTTTTCCCTGTGTGCACTGTTTGCTAATGTTGAAAGATCTTAACAAGGAAAACTGGGATGCTCTGTTTATAAGCAATTTCATTTCCACTTTACAGTTTACAAGCACATGATCATCCTCAGGTTTTCATTTCAGCATTGTACTTAAAAAATGATCTATATCTAAGCATGTGCATAGTCTCAATAACCTCAAGGGAAATACTCACATGCTTAGAGTTAATCACGAGTTCAGGTCTTTTGATAAATGAGGACCAGAAGGGAAGCATTTAAATCCCTCATGAAAAACATTTTCACATTGAAGTATGCTAATTAAAAACAATAGGCAGTTATTTCTGTCTGTACTTGGCCGGATCATTTGCTGGGACAAACAGATTGTCATTGACTCTGAGGAAATTACCCCAATTAACATGAGCTGAAAATCAGATATTAAGATTTCTAATCCTCCATTCTTTGACTTTTTGATCTAAGATGCACATTTTCCAGATGAACTGCTGAATATAGTCTGTTTGTGCTGTTAGAGCTTGGAAACACCTTGTATAAGCTTTTTCTAGCATATGGGCAGTTCACCATACTCCTCCTGATTCAACTTTCCTTTTTTCAGTCCAAGGATCACCTTCGAGCCCAACCTTTCCCAGAAAGAACTCTTAAATTCATCACCATAATTACTTGTAGCTGCTTTGCTATAACCCTTGATGTAAGAAAATATGTCCAAACCTTTTAGCACAGCCTCCGAGGAGCCCCTGAGGTGAGCTGATACAACCCAGGGCTCTGACGGCAGCCCCAGCTGGTCAACTCTCTTACCCTGGGAAAAAGAACAAAAGAGAAAATTCCTCATCAAGAGGAAGGAAATTTTTGGTGGTTTTAAACAATTATAATAATCTAGTAATGCCCAGTGGAAGGGCCTTTTGCTCACTGTAGCTCTCTGAGATGAGCTTCAACTCAGAGGAACCAATTCTGGCAACTTCATTCTGTTTCAGTGAGGTTTGGCAAGGTTTGCTGCTTCACTTAAAATAGCCGGGATCACATTCATATCACTTATGAGAAGCACCTAATTTTGACATTGTGGCATCTAAGTTCAATAAAACCGCGTAGATTTAGTCTTTTTATTTAGTTAAGCTGTAGATTTAAGTTCTTTACACATTCAGTGAAATAAATTAACTTTGGTGTTGAAATTTCGTAGCTATAATAGGTGTACAGGGTCTAGGTCCCCTAGCCCATGTGTATATGAAGATCTCTGCTTTCTTTTTTTTTTTTTTTTTTTTTTTTTTTTTTTTTTTTTGAGGGAGTTGCTAGCTTTCAAGTCTAGTAGAAAAACTGGAACATATGTCTGAAGAAGGATATGAAATTCAAGGGAGGATTCAGTTGCCCAAATGAAAGTTTTGTGTGCCATTTCAGATACCCAGCAATGCTTGACACCCACCGGAGCTGGGAGATGTGACTCTTGGCTTGTAGAAAACTCTTACCTTTCTGCAGGAGCTGGAAGCCAAATAGGATATTCCACAGTCTAAAACGTAACAAGATGCCTACGTGCAGGGAACGGAATCCCACCCCAGAAGGCAAATGGAAAGAAGCAGAAAGTTTTGTGTCTCAGAATTGTAAAACCAGTCCAGCCGCTCCTCAGTTAAATAGTTCTGCTAAGGACTCTTCACACCTGGTCCACTACTTCCAGCACCTGTGCTGGTACCGCTGGCAGAGCTAAATCACGCCACATAGATGCCCAAGTTTGTGTCAAACATGGGGATCTTCACACAGAGCTACTCTGTATGGGGTGGACTTGCTTGGGCAGACCAGAATACCCCATTTTACTGCCAACCTTCATGATTATGTGGCTATTCCCACATTCCTCAGTTCTGTCCTCTAAGCCTGAACACGATACCAAAGTAAGAATCTAGCCCCCACAGATGCAGAAGAAAGCTCAAAAATGTGAACAGAGTCTATCCTAGGAGATAAGGCATGTGAAGTCAGTACTACTCACTACCTATTTGTACAGAAATCTTATGCCTTATCTAGGTCAGTTCCATGGCTTTTGGACTTCTCAGAGATGCCAAAAATGTACAGCATGAATAGAAGTGTCCATACACAGAGGGGCAAATCCTACCTTCCTATCCAGGAAAATGATTTGTGGCTGTACAGGAAGCTGTTTCTCCATTTCTCCATCTGAGGGCTGCACCCGAACAGAGATGTTATAGGGTCTCACATACAAGCAAGTTCCTGAGTTTTGTCTGCTTCCATTTGTTTCACATGCAAAGGAATGTTAAAAAAAAAAAAAAAAAAACAGAAAATTAATGCTATGAAAACACCCAATGTCAATTACTGAGATGATTCATACCTTACCTATGTCTCATAACTACACATTACTTTCTGTTCACAAGGTTTTCTGCCTTTGTAGTGCAGGTGGCAATACTCAAGTGTTTGTTGTGAGTAGGAAGGAGTGCTGTAGAAAATGACTACTAATTTACCTTATCATGATATTTTGATATACTGCATGAGATCAGTGCGTACAGAAATATGAAACAGGCATCACTCCAAGGAGATAACAATACCTAACTACTAAAAGACCCTTTTGTTCCTATCCTCAGTTTATAAATGGAAAACTGAGGAATAACTGAAAGAAGTTATTTCTCCACTATCACAACGGAAGCATGTGGCACAGACAGAGATTTTATGCATTCAGAAACGCAGAGCCTTATCCCCAGTCTTCATTCCAGTGCACTGATAACTGAAGGCTACAAATGCTTCCCGTCCAGCCAAAAGATTTCCAGTGAATATCTTCAAGCTCTTGTAAAAACAAAGTTTCAGTTCCTCTACACAAGCACAACACTTCAAGTCATAGGGTTTTACTGCATATCTTTATCTTGTTGTACCTATGATCCTGTGCTTCATTATCTGCAAAGTCCACATACTGAAATATATAGTATATAGACACCTGATAAAAAGACTTTGGCTTTTCAGGACTGAAATTTAAATTCAAGCATCCCAGGAGAGAGCTTTTGCATTTGAATAAGGAATCAACACTTTATTCTGAGCCTATATCATTTCATTTCCTCTTCCAGTGCTTTCTGTCATTTAGTATCTCTTTTATACATACATACATATGTACATATACACACTTCTAATCTACAATTGCAGTGACATGGCTAAGGGTTTGATATTGTCTTGAAATGAAAATAGGAAAGTTATTCATTCATCTCTCTAGTGTTTGCTTAAAGGTGTTTACAAACAGATTTACTGAGCACCAATTTCCTTTGGTTTAACTTCAGGTTATCTTTCAGGGTGTTACTGTGCATTACAAAACAGAACCTACGTTTACTGTGGCTTACGAGAAATATTGGCCCAATCCATGATCATAGGGAAGACTGACTAAAGGTTTTAAGGAAGCCTGTGATCTTAAAAACTGACTCAACAATTTAAACAAAAAGTCTCAGTTCTTCTCTTGGTTCTTTTTCTTTCTTGTGAGCTGGTAATTCTGAAAAGCAATGGTATATTAGAAACTTATGGCAAACGTACCAAGCCATTCTGCAGTGCTCTTTTTACCCTCCTTCCATAACTAGGCAATCAGCACTGTGAATTAAATTCACTGCAGGCACTGCTTGCCACATCACTGTTTTTATGGCAGAGATCTGCACTTTCCGTGAGCCCTCTGGAGCTAGCTGAGTTCAGACAAGTTCAGTTGAATCTTGGCATGGCTTATGCAAGCCAAAAAATCAGTTTTTTGTCTCCAACTTCTTTAAACTGTCAGCAAACAGGAAAAATTTAGCATGCAATGCCCTGACTCCACAACCCAGGCCCTACACAGTAAATGGTGCCCATCATTCATTTAAAGGAAACCTGCAGCTAAATCTGGTTGTAGGAAGTAGCAGTTCCCAATCCCTAGAGCAAGCAACAACAAACAAAATGAAAAAAAAATCCCACATGCAAGTTTAAAAATTAATGTTTGTTTGCAGGTGATTTGAATCCAGCTAGCACAGCAGAGAACACGATATTTATATTCCACACGGTCCAGCTTGCTTCTTGCTGTGAAGGAGCCCCTGCCTTAGGGTGCAACCTGCACACAGCGAGTTATGTCCCTGCATGTGAGTATCAGTGTCAGGAGGGAGGAGAGAAGAGCAGCCTGCTGCTCCCCTGTCAATTTGAGCCGGGAGGAAAACAGGCTTGCCTGGCATAATTTTGCCACTGGGAAGTGGGAAGGGGCAGGTGTGCCTGTAGCCCAGCAAGGGCCAGAGCGAGGAAACCTGCTTTTCTCCTTCTGATTGGCATCAAGAGGATGCTATTTTGCCACTGTCCTGAAGTGCCGTGCTGGGAAAGATTTGCAGTTCTCTGCTGACAGTGCTCAACGGGGAGCAGCTCAGTTGCTCAGTGCCTTGCAGCTCTGCGAAAGGTGGGCACAGTGGGCAAGCAAGTGGTATCATGGTATCCTAGTCAGCAGGGAGACCTGGGCCAGGCTCCCGGAGAGCACTGCAATCAATGCTGACACAGGTCTGCAGAACACACCGTGGCTCTGCGAGAGAGTAAAGGTCAGTTATTCAGTAGCAAGGAAGTTACGGGTCATAGAGAGTAATTAGAGGACCTACTGAGGGTATCAAGGCATGACTGAGAAACTAAGAGGAGAGATTTGGGGCAAAGGGAGGGAAGCATCACAGCAGTCAGGAAGAGGTTTTCTTTTTAATTTATATAATAGAATTTATATCATTTATAATTCATATGCTAGTAATAAATTATTATTATCCATTGGCTTCAAGGGGAAAGAACCAAACCCAAAGGTTATGTCAAGGGTCTACTAAAGTAAATTTAAACATCAGTATTAGAAAACAAAATAATACCAAAGAACAAGCCTTGGCACTGAAGCTTGATCACCTCTACTGTCAAACTGTCAATCCTCGGCAAGCTTAGGTCCAGGCAAAAGAGCAAAGTTCAGGACAGCACTGAAACAGTAGGGGAGCTAATAGAGTCAAAGACTTAGCTTGGATGAGGCCAGTCTGAACTGGTGTGTAAGAGAGTATAATATTGCTGACACAGGCCGATCAGCTGGCCTTGGTGCTAGAGAACGGTCCCTGACATATTTAACTTACTAATAAGCATAGCCAATGAAACTATTTGAACAGTTGTCTGAGTGCATCTGCAATTTTAGGGCTGCAGCACTGGCATATCCTTGGCAGAGGAAGGAGATTGGGAAAAATTTGGGGAAGCAATAACATGTCAAAATGCAGCAGATGGCCAAGCCTAGGAGTTTTTATTTTGTTCTTTTACTGAAAAGGCAGTGGTTGCTGGTGAGGAGAAGACAGGCTGTGGGGAAGAAGGTGCCCTAATGAAGACAGGAAACAGGCAAGCTGAGGACTTGCACAAGGCAGAGTAGGTGCAGATTCACCAGAAAGGCCATGGGGATTTCAGCATCCTTGGGTGAGAGGTATGCTGTCCTGTGCAGTGGTATGAGGTTAGCCAAACACCGGGTACCCATGCCCTCTTTCCTGCATTGCTCAGAGCTTTGTCTCCCTCTGCAGATCTTATCACTGAGCAGCAGAGACGGGAAAAGAGGGACTTGAGCATCCCGAAGGCTGTGTTAGGGGTCCAGGCTCATTCCTAGTGTGTGCAAAACTGCTTTCCAAAGGATTACTTTTGTTTCCACAGATCTCCAGGTTTTCCCATATTACATAGAGAAATAAAAGCTATAGGAAAGAAACTGCAGTGGAAAGCTGACAGCAAAGAAACAATAAAAAAAAATATTGGTCATGTCTCTCTATGAGGACTAGGCGAATGGACTGAATGAGACCCTTGGCATCAAACATTAATGATATGTCCCTTCTTTTGCCTATGCTGAGCCAATAAGACCGAAATTCAAGGCATTCCAGCCACGCAGGCTGCTAGCACTGACAGGGAGCTTTAAACGAAGACAGGATCATCGCAAGTCATTGCCTTGGAGGCTGGATGCTGTCATGGCAGTGAGCTTGCAGGAGTAGGTCTAATAGTGCAGAAAAGTAACAAAGGGGCCAGGACTGATGATGAACCGGGGTAATAAACAAGTAACTGAATTACCCTGTGTGGGTCAGGCTGGACAAAAGGGGTAAGCTTATTTATGTAAACATTTTGAACATTTCTTTTCAGACAGTAAAGACATTTTGACCAGAAGCTAGATATTTTGTGCCTGTTCAAAGCATCAGGTAAGGTGATTAGACCGAAAAACAGTAGTTCTTTTTTTGGAATATATGTTAATTCCAAAAAAAAAAAAAAAACAGTCTTTCTGAATGATGTATTCTGACATTAACCTACCGGGGTCCTACCACCATCAGATCTCCATCTGCTGGCTGTTACACCTACACTAGAGACTATCCAAGCTCCAGGTGGCTCCCGATCTAGCTTGGGGTAAATGTTTTCCCCATTTTACAGAGTAACTCAGCATGAACACAGCCCTCTAGGAACACACTGATATGTCTCCTCCATAAGTCAAGTCTTCTCTCCCTGCTCAGATAGATAGCTTTCATGTAGCAGTTTTCATTCCCTACGGTACCCAAAACTGAAGACAAGCAGCTGCCCAGTGGAAGCAGCTGGTGGCAGTCGGCATAATCCAGATTCCCGTGGCCTGAAAAAGGCAACTAAAAAAAGAAAAAAAACCTGGAGATTGGAGGGATGCAGTGGATCCGCTCAAGGGTGAAGTGCAATTGCCAGGTGCCTTCAGAACCAGTCCATCAGACGGGAGAGAAAAGTCCTCCAGGTTCTTTAGTGACTTTCACTAACTGCTGGACACCAGCAGAAATACCCATACTTACAATGCCACCTGCTAGCGGTGAGGGACTAAGCCAGGCCTTGTCCATAACATACTCCTGAAGTTTACTGTTGGAGGAACATCTTTTATTAAATGTAAACAGCATCATGCCAGAGGTCAGAGCCTTGCTGCTGCTGCATATCCCAAGGTAATATCACTTTAAGCTTCACATAAACTCTTAAACAGTTTCTATCCTAAAACCAGACCGTAGGTGGTACAGTTTTTTACGATATGTTATAATAGTGCAATAAATCTGTTAGCTTAAAATCGAATCTCCGTGGCCTTTTAGAGAAATCATCATTAAATGCAAGGCCCTGTTAATGATGCCATCCCAGTGAAATTGTTTAATCTGCTAGGGGGGTGAAAGGTCACCAAATGAATTTTTTATAATACATCAACTTGACACGCAATAGGGAAAACTGTAATAGATAAAAGCAAAGGAAAAGGGCACTGTCTTCTTCTGATAGG